CAGTATTTCTAGCCGTATTGCCAGATTTATCTGGCCTATTTCCCTCTTGAGGCGTAGCATTGTGTAATACAATGTTCCCGACCGTTATTTGGACCTTTTCAACCATGAAGCCTTCGTGGTCTAGTGGTTATGACGCTCGCCTTGTCAGCGAGAGGTCGCAGGTTCGAATCCCGTCGGAGGGATTTTATTACACAATGACTTTGATAGGACTTCATTCGAAAAGCTACAGTGAAGCCTACGATGTTCCATCATGTCCTTATTTAAAACACTGTATATGTACCTTCGATGATTTATATTATATATATTATATATATTATACATATATTAAAAAATATATATATTATACATATATTATAAGAAAGGACGTTGGTGGCGTTTAAAGTGTATATGTACACTAAAGAACCAACATTAATATTCTACATTTTCTCTGATTTCTTGATAACAAATTCGGAATCATCCTGAATATTTGTAATTTGGAACGTAATGTGATCAAGGATAATTTGATTAATTTTCATTCTGAAAATCATAGAACGAAGTTGAGAGCAGTTCTTGAACCAAGCCTGCTAGAGAAAATTAATTTAATCAACCCGCCAAAACTACTCAGCAAACGGTCGGTAAGAACCTATGTTTACCATAACAACCAGCTCTACTGAGTCATTCGGACAGTTCATGCTCGAGTGAACACAATTTGAAAAGCCTTTGTTCACGAACGTTTGTTGCCATGACTACTATCAACGATAAGAAAAGATTAAACGTAAAGCCTGTCTTTCTTAAAGATGATGAAATCAGAAACAGAAACGAGGATTTTATCAAAGAAGAGGTTCTTTACTTTTCGTTAAGTGAGGTCATCAATTGTGATCACCTCATAGGAACCCAAAAGGTTAGAAACCTTTGGAGAATTTATATAGATGATCACAGCGAAAGAGTGAAAGCAATCACTTCTGGTTTAAAAATAAATGGAAAACAGGTTAAAGTGTATGATGTCAACCCATATATCGGTGGAGATGAAAATGAAGTAAGAATCCTAGTTAAGGATATACCTTTGTCTGTTCGGGATGAAGAAATTAATGATGCCTTAAAAAAAATTGGATGCAAAATCCAAAGAGAAATACAGTTTATTAAATTTCGAATCAATGGAAAGCTTTCAAGATTTCTAAATGGAGACAGAACAGTTTTTGTGCAGCCATTCAAAGGAAGTCTTCCAAAGGTGCTTAAGATAAATAATTTCAAAGCGAGAATCTTCCATAGAGATCAGAAAGTAGATCTAACATGCTTTGAATGCGGTTTAACGGGCCACAAAGTAAACGACTGCCCAACGAAGCTAAAAAGCATGGTATGTCATAAGTGTAATAAACCTGGTCACAGGGCAAATACCTGCAACGAAAGCATAACATATCATTGTATAGAGTCGGAGATTGAACCAGAACCTGAAGATATCGTGACGTGTGACCTCCTGAGCGATTCTTTGAATCGAGTGATGGGGAAGTACAAAGCGATGCTTGCAAAAATACAAGTGGAAGAAAAGAATCAGTTAAAGATAAACCAATGGATAACACACAGAACTCAACAAACCTGCCAACCCAGGTAGTGACCCAGATTCATTTGAGTTAGATGAGAGAATCCAACAGATAATGAAAGTCGCAATTAATAGCGTAAAAAGTATTAACCAAGAAGAGTGTTCATCTGCAGCTGCTCCTAAAGGATTCACTGTTAGTAAAAATGAGAAAAAGAAGCAAAAAAAAGCGGGGAAAAAACAAGCTGAAAAATCAGAAAAAGAAAAACTTAAAAAATTTGAAAAGAATACGGAAGGCATGAGGCCAATTACCAATTTTGTTAGTGCTGGTAGACCAGATATAACCCCAGATGAAAATACTGATGCGGGGATTGCTACTTCTTCCCGACAGTCCTTTGCGGCGACAAAAAGAAAACAGATTACAGAAAGTGGGGAAAGAAATCGGACTCTGTAAGTTAGAATAAGGCTTACTTCTATATGTACGATTAGTAATATGTTTTCTGACTGGTCTTTAGTTATAATTAAAAAGTACATAAAAACTGTTAAAAAAATGAAAAGAAAACCCCAAAAATGTAGTCTGCATTTAATATCCTTAAATTTCAGAGGTTTGAGAGATAACCATAAAAAACGAAAAATGTTTAAATGGTTAGAAGAACAAAATGTAGATATTGTTTTGCTACAAGAAACACACTTTGATAAAGCATCAATAAGTTGTCTTTCTAAATTTTGGAAAGGTAAAGCATATCACAGCTTCGGATCAACCAATAGTAGAGGTGTTTCGATAAAAACTGTTTAAAACAAGTTTTGACGCCAAAAACATCTATTGTAAATTTGTAGATGGAGAGGGTAGGAATATAATTGTAAGTTTAAAGCATAAAGATAAAACAATAAATTTAATTAATCTATATGCACCAAATAATTATAAAGAAAGATCACTTTTCTTTAAAAAAGTGGAAAAAAAGATAGATAGCCTTTGTTACGGAAATGATGAATACATTGTCATGGGTGGTGATATGAACTGTGTTCTAGATCGCAACGTTGATCAAAGAAACAGTATCCCCCACTATGATAACTCACCGTTAGCTTTGAAAAATTGTATGTATAAACATAAACTAATTGATATATGGCGACACTGTCATAAAAACACGTTTCAATTCAGGAAAGATACATATAGGAGATTAGACTACTGGATCGTATCAAAAGCATTATATACAAATGGCGATATAGTGCATACTGACATAAGGCCGGCGATTTCACTTAAATTGTTTATAGATCAATGTGAAAAAGGTCCAGGTATCTGGAAAATAAATAATAGCATTTTAGAAGACAACACTTATTCCTTTAATATATTAAAAATTATTGAGAAGTTAAAAAAAAATGAATATAATCTAAATCCAGAGCTTCTGTGGGAGTATCTGAAAATGAAAATAAAAGAATACACATGTAAATATTGTGCAAAAAAAGAAAACAGGAAAAAAGAAAAACAAGAAAAATTACTTAGAGAAGTCAATGTACTTACAAATAAGTTAAACATTGTTTATGATATTGAATCTGTTTTGAAAAGTAAGACAAAAGAATTAGAAGCTATCTATGAGTCTGAAGTTCGAGGCGCACAAATTCGCTCAAGAATACAATGGTTCGAAAAGGGTGAAAAAAACAAATTCTTTTTAGGGCTAGAGAAAAGCAAGGCAAAAAGAAAACACATCACATGTGTACTAAAAGAAAATGGTAAATACACGTCAAATATTGGTAATATCCAAAAATAGCAAGTTAAGTTTTATGGAAACCTATACAAAAATAAAAATATACCTGAGATAATGATCAATTCATATCTAAAGAACACGAACCTTAAAAAAAAAACTCTCCGAAAACGAATTAGAAGAATGTGAAGGTGAAATCACGGTTGAGGAATGCACAGATTCTGTATATAAAATGAAGCTTAATAAAAGCCCTGGTTCTGATGGACTTAGCGTAGAATTTTACCGTTATTTTTGGGAAGATCTTAAGTATATTTTATGTAACGCTCTAAACTATTCTTATAGAAATAATAAGTTAAGTACTACTCAAAGATTGGGAATAATTAATTTACTATTCAAAAGTAGAGAAAGAGAAAAGCTCACCAACTGGCGTAGTCTACATTATTAAATGTAGACTACAAAATTATGGCCCATGTCATTCTTTTTTACTCAAATAAACACTTAAAACCCGGTGCAATGATCTTTTTAGATTTCGCAAAGGCATTTGACTCAATTGATAGGAATTTGATGATTAAAGTGCTTGAAAAATTTGGGTTTGGTAAATCTTTTCAAAGGTGGATAAGTAACTGCTTGGATATGCCAAACTTGCAGATCATTACCGTCTGTAGTAATGAAGCTTACTAAAACAGTTGAATTACAAGAGAAACAAATGAGTGACATAATGGAGACCGTTTTGTTATTGCAAAACAACATCAAGGAACTAAAGGCCAACAAAACAACTGAAAACCAGCAACACAGTGATGTACCAAACCCATCCTTAGTCAACGATAACTACACCCGACCTGCCGTAGCTCCGCCACCAAAACCATATCTATTTATTGGTGATTCAATTATCAGAGACGTACAAGAACAAGGCCTTGAAAATACCAAAGTCAAGTGCATCAGGGGCGGAAAAGTAAAGTGCATTAGTAATCAACTTAACGATACCAACGTAGATTGCTATTCATCTATTATAATTCACGCAGGAACGAATAATTGCACAGAAGACAAGAACGTTGATGTAGGAATTGCGGAATATGAAGAACTTATGAAAAATCTAGAGGAAAAGGCCCCATTGGTAACAAGGGTTCTATCAACTGTTTGTCCAAGGACTGAATGACGTAAATCACCAGAAGAGAATTGATAAATTTAACAGTGGTTTAAAGCAAATTGCAGTACAGTATGAATGTGTCCTGATCGACAATGATGAATCTTTTAAATTAAGAAACAATGATGCAGATCGATCAACTCTTGATAGAAGGGGCCTCCACTTATCAAAGCAAGGCACAAGTCGACTACTAAGTAACATTGACAAATCATACTCATTTCTTAGTCCTCGTAGGAACAACATGGACACACCGAACAGTGAACATCAACAAAGACATACTCGCCGATCT